AGGGAGCCCGATGCGGGACTCGATCCAGGGACTCCAGGATCATGACCTGAGCCGAAGGCAGTTGCTTAACCAACTGAGCCACCCAGGCGCCCTATCTATAACCCTTCTTAACCTATGTGGGACTTCTTGAGAAATTGTTTAATTAAAAAAAAAATGCTATTTCATTAGAAAGCCTATATTCTAGTTGGGAAAACATCAATAAAGAGAAAGGTGCTACAAAGATGGCCAAGTACTCTGGTAGGAGGTAATCTGCACGATAGGACAGTTGCCTAATATCTGAGGTGGTAATACTTGAGTCATGAAGGGTGAGAAAAAAACTGCCTTGGAGAGGGTCCATGGCAGAACATTCCAGGCAGGGGTCCAGCACACATAGACTCTAAAAGATATTGTTACCCCAAGTGTGATACGGGTAGCATTGCTATTATAGATTGAGGTAATTTTACTACTCATGTATTTATTTTTACAAATGCTCTATTTTGAGGAATTACAGTTTTCCATTTATGGTAGTGATAGAGCTTTAAAATAAAGTGGAAAAAGTGAGTTGATTTAATAGAGCACTATTAAGTAAATACTAAAACGGAGATTCCAATATGGCAAAAATCGTGAGTGGCACATGAATAATGAAATGTTGAGTCTGGCAGGTTTTAAGAACTGAAAAGCTAGAGTGTAGACAGAAGGAGTTAAGAGTATCTCAAGTGAAGGTGAGAGGTGTGCAGAGGCCAGATCCAGCAACGTTGTATGGGTTGTGGGTCACAGGCCAGGGGAAGAGGGGATTGTGTTATACGTATCATGGTAAGGCTTTGAGGGGTGACATGATTTGTCCTTTAAAAAGACCACTCTGGTTTCTATGGAGAATTAGAGGGTGGCGAGAGGAAGCTCACTGACCACTTAGGAAGTTACTATAGTCCAGGCGGGCAGTAAGGACTGGGGGTGGGGTGGTGGCACACAGATGTGTTAATTTGAGACCTCTTTTGGAGACAGAATCTCTAAGACTTCTTAATTGGATGGGAGGGTGAGTAGACTGGCGGAGAGGAGGCCCAGATTTTCTGGCGTAACAGATAGGGGTGTGTGGTGGTGTCCATCACAGAAATTGGAGAATTAGGCCCTTCCAATAAGGTAAAGAGGGAATCCTGTGGAAGCTGTGAAAAATGTGATTAGTAAACCTTTCCCACTGCACAGACACTGGAAGTGAGTATGCATATAAAAGAATGCTTGCATAAGGTCTGTTCTAAGTAGTGTAGAACCCTAGCTGGGATCCGCATCTGTGTCTGGGTATCTGAGGTCCGAAACACACAGAACCTTGAGGGCTTAGAAGCAAACCTGGAGGTGAACGTCCTAGGGAATGGATACCGATTTTAGGGCAGGGAGAAAAGAACATAGTAACAATTCACTTCTGAATCTGACCAAACTATAATTCAGGGTTTACAATTTAAAATACAATTTATTTCTCGGAATCCAGATTACTAATTTTGAAATAGGGAGGTTATATACTTTGTCAGTTTCTTTAATGAATTTACTGTTTCTAGGGAATGCAAAGTGTGATAGCATTGGCTACAGTCCTAACTCAAAACCAAACAATTAAGGGAATAAACCTAAACCGACCTATACTGTATGGTGAACAGGTATGTATTCAAAGTGATGACAGCTAATATTACTACATGTGAATAAAATGAAGGTACTCTTTACTGAAGTTTATGTCAAGGTTCATATTTTTAGAATTTACTGCATTTACAAAGAAAAACTTATTTGAAGAAAAATTGAGTTAAATTACGATTTTAGATGTTGTTTATTTAAGCAGTAAACATGTCTTTTTTCTTCCTTTCTTTCTTGTAAACTCAGATTACAGTGAGTAAACCTGTAAAGAGGCAGAGTAGTTAAGGCGAGAACAGTGATTAAAAGTTTTAAAGGCTGGATAAGAGCTCAGTGTAAATTGTTTTGTTGTTTGTTATATTGATATCACTAAACTGCTTTGAAATCAAGAGTAACAGTGGCCAAATATGTGTGAAGAGCAGCGTGGGAAGTCTGGACTTGATCCTATAGGTAAGCTGCATGCTGGAGACAAGATGATGAGTAAAAACATTGTAGCTGCTTTTAAGGCTTCTCCTTGCTCTTTAACATTCTTTTAGAAGTGGCAGAGCAGGTTTTCAGATTGAGCACATGAGATTTGAAGGCTAAATCAAAATTTTCTGGATTAGACCTTGAGGAAATAAATCTTTTTTTTTTTTTTTAAAGATTTTATTTATTTATTTGAGAGAGGGAGAGCACAAGCTGGGGAGAGAGGCAGAGGGAGAAGCAGACTCCCCACTGAGCAAGGAACCCGATGGGAGACTCAATCCCAGGACCCCAGGATCATGACCTGAGCTGAAGACAGATGCTTAACCAGCTGAGCCACCCAGGCACCCCAAGAATTTTCTTGTATTTTTCTTTAGCTATATTTAAGTTGTAGTCTAAGATTCCTTTCTTCAGAGAAACATGAGTTCTGACACATTTCTTCTGCATGTGTTGGGTTGGTGCGGCCAGCTGAGGGCAGGCACTGAACCTCAGAGATTCTCAGGCCAGTCTTTTTAATAGCAAGTAAGGTAGTATGCAAGAAGGGAGGAAAGAAGCCCAGTGGGAGCCCAGCTCCAACAAGTAAATTTGTTAAAGATCTATTTACTGTGTTTCCTGTGGAGAATGCTAAAGTAGCATTGTGTAGTTTGAATTCCATGTGAACCATGGTCACATGTCTGGGAAATGGAATATTTTTTTTCTCCCTTCTCTCCAGGCTCAACAATTTGAAGAGTCTTTGTGCACCTGAGTGTTGTAAATGTCCTGAGAAGTATTATAGAGGTCTGCTTAGGTTTAATTCAGCACTTCCCAAACTTACTTGACAATAAAATCTATTCTATTTAGAACATCTTTGATCATCTCCTGGAAGATTAGTATTCTGAGGAACACAGTTTGGGAAATATTGTGCTAAAATGTTATATAAATTCATGGAAACTTCCTAAAATAAGTGAAGGGTTTCTTATGTACATCCACCCATAAGACAGGAAATTCTGTTGACATTAAAATTTTTCCCAGACTGACATGGGAAAGCTCACAATGTTAACTGGAATATTTCAGTACAGTCCTATATCTTTTCAATTTTTTTTTAAAAAACGGCTAATATGTACGTAGATGAGAAAAACAATGAGGAGGAAATACCCACAGACCTTAATTGTAATAGTTCTTTAGCAGTGGGATTGCTGATAAATATTTATTTCTTTTTGATATTGAAATTTCCAAGTTGTCTGGAATAAGTGGGCTAATTTTTTTAAAAGTTTATTTAAAAACAACTATTAAAAGTTTACTGCTTTCATTTTTAATGTAATGTTCCTCATTTTAAATCTTGTTCTGCAAGTTTGTTTAGCAAACTCTTGAGTTCATACAGTGCAGAAATCTCAGCAAAGAACATCTCTTCAGATGCAGAGACTTAGAGAGGCTGGCTCCTGAAGATACCAGGCTGGTTGAATAGCGAAATCTCTGAGCCAATTTTTTTTTTTTTTAAGAGACCTATACAAAAGATAGGACAGAAAACAAAAGATAGTGGTATGTGCTTCTAAGACGAGGGACATCATTTCCACCCCCAGAAGGCTTGGGTCTTGCAAAAGATCCTTTTAAGTTAGTATCAAAGACAGTAAGACCATTAAGGAAAGATGCAGGCATAACAGAGGAAGGAGATTTCAACTCCTGCTTTGTTTCTGTCTTCTTTATTAAGGACTGAACTGAGAAAAATCCACCTTTAGAAAGGAAATGGAAGGCCGGGGTAGGTGAAGAGCTTCTCTGAGTCAGGCCTCAAGTCCGTGTTAGGAGGAACCGACAGAGCTATAGCCAAAGATGCCATCAACTTGCATGTGTAGAGGGTATCCAAGGGGCCTCTGGGACTTGGGGATTTTTCAGATCCTTTTAGAGTTTAGGTTCTCTGATTAAAATTGCTTTTATTTGAAGTCATGATAAGAAAACGTGAGTCCCCCTAACCCGATGTGGCGGAGTGGAAAGAGGCTTTGGAGTCCGTTTTCATACTCCATCCTAATTTATTAGCTGTATGATTTGGGACAAAATATTTAATTTCTTTGAATATCCTTTTACTCTGCTACCTCTGTTAGTTCTCCGTTTATGTCACTTCCAAGTTAGTGTCTGCCTACCCTCAGTGGGTGCTTCTATGGCCCTGCTTCTCCAAACAGCATTCTTATTCCCCCCAGTTCTTCTATTTCCCTCTTCTTTCTCTATTCTTAATTCTGTTGCCTTTTCTTCCTCACCCCTGACTCTATGCATACACACATTCGTATCTTTGAAAGAAGTGTGTTTTGGGGGAGGGGAGGGGGGGGAACAGGAAAGGTCCTAGTATAATTTGTATGTGATGAAGAGTAATGCACTTATTTTTAAAAAGCTCCAGAAGTTATTGGCCATCTCCAGGAAAATTATTATAATCTCTGTATGGAAAAGTCCCAGAAAATTAATTCTTTTATATTGCATATACTCCAAGAACTGGATGAAGAAATTGAAAAGGGGTAAGGAAGACACTTACTTGACTACATAAGTAATATTCACTGACATCCATCTGTGTGAAAATCCTGGAATACCGAGTGATTTGTTTAAAGCCATTTGCCCGTGCTTTTTAAAACAGACCTACCTTTTGATTTAGAACAGTGGCTGATGGGCACTGTTAGCTGGTCTTGGAGGTAGTGGAGTACGTGGGGAAGAGCACTAGACCAGCCATCTCCGAGTCTAGCCTTCACATTTGTCCTAAACTCCTGTGAGCTGGATTGATTTATGAAAAACCTTGAAGTCTTTGATATCATTTATCTATCAGGTGGAGATACTTTTTTTTTTAAGATTCCATTTATTTATTTGTCAGAGAGAGAGAGAGCACACAAGCAGGGGAAGCAGCAGGCTCCCCACTGGCTGAGCAAGGAGCCGGATGTGGGACCCGATCCCAGCAGAAGGCAGATGCTCAACCAACTGAGCCACCCAGGCATCCTGATACATTGGGGGTTTTTTTTGTGAAAGAAAAATTATATAGTATAAAAGTGTTTACAAAATCTATAGAATATTCAGTCATCTTAAGTTACTTAGTGTGAATCTGTATTGTGATACATACTTGGTTTCAGTAAATGCTATTCATGATGTTACTATTTATATAGGAGGAAAAAATACTTCTTTAGTGGGTTTCTTTTTTTATTTTAATAGATCAGAAGGAATCACATTAAACATTGCTGGTAACAGTTGCTTAATGCCAGAAGAAAGAGTAACAGGTGAAGATTTTTGGATTCTTTTCAGAATTTTAAAGAAGAATCCATATATTAATGGTATATGTCTCCTTAACAATCATTACCTCTTGCTTTCATTTTGCTGATTTTAATTATTCAGTATAAGGAACATCAGCCTGTATTCATCTGTGTTCTTCAGGTTTGGATGTTAGATATAACTTCATAAGTGATGTTGGTGCATACTATGCTGCAAGACTGCTTCAGGTATTTTACTACAAAATGTTCTTAGTTCTTTTTGTTTTCTTCCAGGAGTCAGTTAAGAACCAGTCCTTTTTCTTTGGAATGTACAGGGTTTGAGCACCCCAAGCCTGCTAAGTTAACCCTTTATTGCAGCCTTCACTTTGGAGATGCCCATGCTGCATTGCGGTTCATTTTATTTAAGACAGACAGTGGGGTCAAAAAAACAAAAACAAAAACAAAGACAGTGTGGTCCACCAATCAGAGTAGGTGTACTTTAAGAAAAGGCTTTATTTCAGCGTCAGAAGATTGGCAAATATGGGTATATGTCTGTATTTTCACTTAAAATGTTTAAAGCACCATATATCATTTTTTGATACCTCTCTTAAATTGGTTTTTTAAGTTCCTAACTACTTGTCCCAATCTCAGTTGCTAAATGTGCTTCCAATGAGCTTAAAAATGATCCTAAAATTCTCATATCCATGCGATGGCACACAGCACAAGAACAGAGTAAAGATTAAAAAATATGAACTAATTCTCAGCAACTACAAAAATGCTGCAAAAATAATCAAAATGTTCTTGAGTTTTCTTAGTTCTCTTTGTGGTGAAACCACCTACTCTAGTGGCGCACACACACAAAATGCTAGTTTTGTAAAATGTCCAGGGTCCTGACCTTGCACTATATTTATAACACTTGAAATAAGCGGAACACCCACTTGTGTATTTGTTACTGGTAGGTTGCTGGTACCTAGAGCTCCTGAGTCCTCTTTTGCAAACTTGTACACTATGGTTAAATCAAGGACATTCATACTTTGAATGATTGATCAAAATAGAATATAGTCTTTTTCTTTCATTTATATTGTAATTATGTTTAAATGAGCATGGTGACCCCCCCCCCCCCGCACACCTTAATGGTAGCTTCTTTTGCTGGACTTTCAGATTTTCTGTTACAAAGATTTTCTTTGGAGGTAAATACTTTTACTTAAATAAAGCAGCTCCTGGGCGCCTGGGTGGCTCAGTTGGTTAAGCGACTGCCTTCGGCTCAGGTCATGATCCTGGAGTCCCGGGATCGAGTCCCGCATC